GTTCCCTAGGAGACACTCTCGCTACCCGCTCTGGATGCTGGTGATACTTAAATTCTCACTAATGCACTGAAAACCTCACCTAACAGGGTGAGTTTAGACTCTTATTAATTTCACTCAATTCAACAAACATCTAGTGAGTGCTTAAGACACTGTACTGATCAACTGTAGCGATCAATATAACCAAGATATGAATTACTCAGAAGACTTTATGGCCTACCACTTTCTGCTGGGATTACCTTACTGAAGGACCCCTTTATCTGACACTTGATTTCAATCTGCAGAACTCCAATAATGCTGTTTTATTTAAAAAAAAAAAAAAAAAAAGCCTAGGTGTTACTTATTCCTACACGGGGGGGCAATCTAAGTGCCAAACTGCCACTACTACATACAATACACCTGCAGGAAAACACCTGTAATAGGGCTTCTATTTCATGCATCACTGAAAACATTAAGTGGCAATAACTCTTCAGCGTACCCCCAAACAAAAGTGAACTCACAAAGGCATTAAGGCACAAGGCACACACGGTAGGATCAGACAACTCTTTACCACATGTACAACAAATTATACAAACAATAAAGATTCAGCGATGCACACTGAAGATGAAGAAATGGTGAAGACGAACTTAAATTCCAAAACAATTAAAATTATAATTTCCCCACGCACATTCTCATGGCATTCCCACCTACCCAAAGGACAAGTCCAACATAAGCGAGGGCCGGGGGGGCTCCCAGGTGCAGAATCCACTGCAGAAACCCCGCAGGGCGGTTGGCGCTCCGCCAACTCGCCACGCCCCCGCACAGGCCACTCACTCCTCCGACGCCCATCCCCCGGGAAACCCCTGGAGGCCTCCGCTCGGACGCCGCGACGGCAGAGCGCCTTGGAGAAAAGCAGGGGAAGGGGGTGGCAGGTGGGCGGGGAACGAGCCTATCCCGACTCCGCAAGTCTATTCCCACAGAAGAGCGGCGACCAGCAATATTGGGCTCAGATTGCCACCCGCGAGGGTCCCGGGCCTGGGCCCCCAGGGACAAGTAGGCCGACCCCCGCCCCTTCCCCGAGCCGTTAGCGCCGCGGCCCCACCCCTCGCGGCCGGCCGCGCCCCGCCCCGTTCGCCCCATGCCGCTACTCCAGCCAGCCGCGGCCCCGGGCACCTGCTAGGTGGAATGGGCCCGGAGCTGCCTGCCGCGTCCGGAAGGCCGAGGAACCAGGCTTCCATACCTGCACTTTCCTCCGCCCTGCCGTGTTCTGCCGGTGATGGGCCGCCATCTTGCATGTTGACACTCCGACGTCACTTCCGGAGGTGGCTCAGACCGGGCGGATGTCCTGCCCCTTTCCCGTTGGCCAAGGGTTCGTGACGGGGCTGAAAGAGTAGACGGGCCGAGTGTTGCCTAGGTGCTTGCTGTTTGTTGCTCTGTGGCCGGCGTGTGGTGAGGTAGATGCACCCAAAAACAAAACCGTTGTGCAAATAATGCTGATGGGGAGAGAGCCACTTTTCAGGGCTGAGGGAGCAAATCCGAATCCAGTTCTGTGTGGCCCTAGACCCTGGCCTGTGCTATTTTCCGAGTGCTCCCCCAGAGGCCCAAGCGAAACGAAAGCGCTGAAAGAGTTAACAGTGCTAGACATGGCGCTGCACAGCCCCCTGACTTTTCCTTGGCAGGCAGGGGAACCAACTGATTTACTATTAAGTACCTAAAAATGCGGAAATTGTATCTTGGCCTCAAAGAGGGAGAAATAGAAGCCCTTGCAAGGGAGCTGGCCTCCATCTTCAGGAGGAGCAAAGAATCCATTTAAATTAAAAGATTAAAAGCTGCAGCCATAAAAAAGAACATGATCATGTCTTTTGCAAGGACAAGATGGAGTTGGAGGCTATTGGAACAGAAAACCGAATACCGCATGTTCTCGCTTATAAGTGGGAGCTAAATGATGAGAACACATGGACACAAAGAGGGGAACAACGCACACTGGGGCCTTTCGGAGGGTGGAGGGTGGGAGGAAGGCGAGCATCAGGAATAATAGCTATTGCGTACCAGGCTTAATACCTGGGTGACGAAATAGTCTGTACAACAAACTCGCCTGACACAAGTTTACCTGTATAATAAACCTGCACTTGTATCCCTGAACTTAAAAGTTCAAAAAAAAAAAAAAAAAGTTACAGGAAGGTGAAAAGGCTAACACCAGTTAAAATAGTTCCCAGAGACAACTCAGTTCCAAACCCTGAACTGAAAACCCAGGTCTGGTGTAAATCATCTCATACTGGAATAGTTAGGCCCGTCTGGGTGAAAGTTTGACTTCAGGTGGTTTTCCTGACAATAATTATAGGAGCTGAGGGTGATGAGACCCTCCCTAGTGAAAGTGAATCTGTAGAACTACACTGTGGGATATAGCACATGATGTGGTATCCATCCGCTCGTCATCTGTGGCTCTTGAGCACTTGAAATATAGCTAGTTTCAATTAAGATATATAATTGTAAACTACCCCCAAATTTCAAAGACAAGTTTGAAGAAAATGAACTATCTCATTAATAATGTTTGTATTGATTTCATGTTGAAATGATAATGTTTGGGGGTATATTAGGCTAAATAATATATATTATTACTAAATTTTGTAACATGGATATTAATATTTAAAATTGCATATGTGGTCACATATTTCTGTTGCATAGTGCCAGTATATAAGTAATGCTAGTATATACAAAAGTTGTCTTGACAAATGCGTTTTCTTAATAAAGAAATGTGAATTAGAGGAAAAAAAATTGTGATGGCAGAAAGCTTCTTAAGCAAAACCGGCAGTGATAACTTATAGGTAAATTACTGCATCATTACAGCCTCATTCATTCACTGATTCATGTATTAATTCATTCAACAAAATATTTAGCACCTCATATGTCAGGCACTATGTTAGGTGTTGGAGAATCAGTGGTGAGTGTATGTAATCATAGAACTTAGAGTCCCAAGATGAGACAGAAATTAATGCAGAGATAAGTAGTCTGAAGAAAGATGATTGTAAGACAGGAAGTATCCTGAGTCAAGATCTAAAGGATGGAGTTAACTAAGCAAGGAGAGTGAACAGTCCAAGCAAAGATCTGGTAGCAGGAGACAGCATGGAACATTACAGGAAGGTAGAGAGCATGGAACATTGCAGGAACGGAGGATCAAGGCTTAGAGTACAGAGAAGTGAAAGGAGTATGCAGAGGCCATACCCAGCAGGGTCTTTTAGACCAATAGGAAGCTATATTTTAAAAATTATTTTAAGTATCTATTGAGCACCTATGATGTGCAAATACATGTTGCTCTGTACCATATGCTGATACTTGCTAGAAATTGATCGTTATGTTATAGTCCTTCTTTGGACCCGAAGAATACCGAAGTAGTGAAGTTCTTTTAGTGGGTAGAATTTTCACCAGTATGTTTTGATGTTCACTTTGGCTTAAAGCAGAAATGGTTAATTCAGGGTCAGAGGTTAACTTTTTGGCCAGTTTGTCAAGGACATGGAAAGAGCGAGATTGGAAAACTGGTGACAAGGAAGACTCCAGAAGGGATACAGTGACGGACCTCTGAGAATAAATCTTAAGACTCATATGGATGAAATGAACTGCTTTGTGATGAAACAGCCTCACTGCCTGCTCAGTAGAATCATGAAATCAATGGCAATGGTAACAAGATTCGAGGTGTGCATGGGATCTCCAAGCCACTGCTGGGTGTTCAGGAGCAGTAACCAATTCCTAGTTTTCATATACGCCATGCTCTAGGAGTATAACCAACCACATGTAGGCAAGTCTGTGCCATTGGCCATTGGCCCTCCGTCATCATTGAGGGAGTTCTTATTTGTCCTCTCTGAAATATCTTTATTTTAAATTGGGATTTCCTTCCCCTGCTTGTTGTATTTCCGCTGACACCACCGTCTAGGGACTTACTCAGTGCTTTAGATCCTATCATTTTCTCTAATGCTCTATTGCTTTCGACCAAGAAATTCACTCAAGGAAAGAGCTAATGCATTGGGCTTTTGCCCATGGAATTTATTGGACTAATTGTGTACTCCATCACCAAGAAGTATCTTATTGAAGATACATTGAAGACTTAGTTATGGTGCCTTCTGGGAGATAGCCCTTTTTGATATTTTCCTGTAGGATGCAGTATATGCTCTGAACTAGTGTCCAATATTCAGCCCTCTTTTTTCCTATTCCTTTTATTTATTGCTGTTTACCCGCAAAATGTAATGGTTTAAAACAGTTACTTTGCTTACAAATCTGTAATTTATGCAGAGCTTGGTGGGAACAGATTTTCTCTGTTCCACTATCCACTTTACATCAGCTGCGTCAGCCAAAAGATTGGGGCCGGAATCATCTGAAGACTCCTTCTCTTACATGTCTGGTGACTGATACTGGTGTTGGCCTAGTCTTTAGCTGAAGCTGTGGCCAGAACACCTGCTCATAATCTTTCCACAGCACTGTTTGGTTCCTTACAATATGCTAACTGGGTTCCAAGGATGAGCATCCCAAAGAAGAAAAATCTGGTTGGAAGTGATAATGCTTTTTCTAAATTCACAGTGGAAATCATACAGTATCATGTTAAGCCACAGTCAATTTATTAGAACTTATTACTAAGGTTATCGGTGTCTAAGGAGAGGGGATTAGATGACTCCTTTTTTATGAAAGAAGTGTCAATAAATTTGTAGATATATTTTTAATTGACACATAATAATTGTACATATATATGGGGTATAGTATTTGATACCTGTCTGTAATAATTGTTTTGGGAAAATTCGATATCCACTCTTTTAGCTGTTTGAAAATATGTAATAAATTATTGTTAACCATAGTCATCCTGCAGTGTTATAGAGCACCAAAAATTATTCCTTCTACCTAGCTGTAATTTTATATGTGTTAACCAACCTCTCTCTATAGTATCCTCTCCTTCACCCTTCTCAGCCACTAGTTCCACTATTCTATTCCCTACTTCTCTGAGATTAACTTATTTTTCTTTCACATATTGGTGAGAACATGCAGTATTTATCTTTCTGTGCCTGGCTTCTTTAATTTAATGACCTCCAGTGCTATCCATGTTGCTGCAAATAACAGAATTTCATATTTTTAATGGCTGAATAGTATTTCATTTTGTATATGTACCACATTTTCTTTATCCATTCTTTTGATGGATACTTAGGTTGACTCCATATCTTGGCTGCTGTGAATAGTGCTGCAGTAACTATGGGAGCACACATATCTCTTTGACATACTGATTTTCTATTCTTTGGGTAGTAGTGGGATTGCTGGATCATATGGTAGTTGTAGTTTTTTGAGAAATCCACACAATGTTTTCCATAATGGTTGTACTAATTTACATTCCTATGAACAGTGTATGAGTTTCCCTTTCTCTGCACCCTTGCCCTCTGGATTTGTTTCTGTCTTTTTCATAATAGCCATTCTAACTGTAGTGAGATGATAATTCATTGTGGTTTTGATTTGCATTTCCCTGATGATTAGTGATGTTGAACATTTTTTTCATGTATTTGTTGGTCATTTATATGTCTTATTTTGAGAAATGTGTATTCAGATCATTTGCCCATTTTAAAAGTATTTGTTTTTTTTTGCTATTGAGTTGAGTTTTTTGTACTTTCTGGATATTAATTCTTTGTTGGATGAATACTTTGCCAGTATTTTATCTCATCTGTAGGTTGTTTCATTCCTCTATTGATTGTTTCCATTTCTGTGCAGAAGCTTTTTGGTTTGACATAATCCAATTTGTCTACATTTGTTTTTGTTGCCTGTGCTTTTGAGGGCTTAGCCATAAAATCTCTGCCAAGGCCAATTCCTGAAGCATTTCTTCTGTATTATCTTCTAGTAGTTTCAATGCATTTTATATTTAGGTTTTTAATCCATTTTGTGTTGATTTTTTTATAGGATGAGAGGTAGGGAGCCTCATTTCTTTCTTTTTCATGTGGGTAGTCAGTTTTCCCAGCACCATTTATTGAAGAAATTGTTCTTTTCCAAATATGCTATTGGACTTTGTTAAAAATCAGTTAATTCCCAGGCATGGTGGTACATGCCTGTAGTCCCAGCTACTTGGAAGGCTAAGATAGGATGATTGCTTAAGCCCAGGAGTTTGAGGCCTGCAGTATACTGTGATTGTGCCTGTGAATAGTCACTGCACAGCCTGGGAGACACAGCAAGACCCAGTCTTAAAAAAAGGGATGGGGGGAGCTGGGTGCAATGGCTCATACCTATAATCCCAGCACTTTGGGAGGCTGGGTGTTTGAGACTAACCAGAGAGTTTGAGACCAACCAGGGCAACATGGGAAAACCCAGTCTTTACCAACAAATACGAAAATTAACTGGCTGTGCATAACTGTAGTCCTAGCTACTCAGGAGGCTAAAGTGGGAAGATTGCTTGAGCCTAGGAGGTGGTGGCTGCAGTGAGCAGAAATCACATCATTGAACTCCAGTTTGGGTGACAGAGCAAGACCTCGTTTTTGGTGTCTGTTTGCATTTACATTTGGAATTTAAATTTTTTTTAATTTTTAATTTTTGTGAGTACATAGTAGGTGTATACCTTTATGGGATATATGAAATCTTTTGGTACAAGCATGCAGTACATGGTAATCATATCATGGAAAATTGGGTATCCATCTCCTCAAGCATTATTCTTTTTATTACAAGCAATCCAATTATACTCTTTGAACTATTTTTAAATGTACAATTAAAGTATTGTTGACTATAGTCCCCCTGTTGTGCTATCAAATACCATCTTATTCATTCTTTCTAATATTTTTGTACGAATTAGCCATCTCCATCCCCCCCACCCCACCCCCAGCTTCCCTTCTCACCCTCTGGTAACCATTCTGTATATTCATGATTTCAATTGCTTTGATTTTTAGATCCCACAAATAAGTGGGAACATGTGATGTTTTCTTTCTTTGCCTGGTTTATTTCACTTAATATAATGACCTCCAGTTCCACCCATGTCATTGCAAATGACAGGATTCTGTTATTATTTTTTTTTTGGCTGTATAGTACTTCATTGTGTATAAGTATCACATTTTCTTTATCCATTCATCTGTTTATGGATACGTAGATTGCTTCCAAATCTTGGCTATTGTGAACAGTACTACAACAAACATGGGAGTGCAAATGTCTCTTTGATGTACTGATTTTATTTCTTTTGGGTTTATACCCAGCAGTGGGATTGCTGGATCCTATGCTCTGTTTTTAGTTTTTTGAAACCGCTAAATGATTCTCCATAATGGTTGTACTAATGTGCCTTCTTACCAACAGTATATGAGGGTTCTCTTTTCTCCACATCCTCGCTAGCATTTGTTATTGCCTAACTTTTGGATAAAAGCCATTTTAATGGGGGTGAGATAATATCTCATTGTAGTTTTGATTTGCATTTCTCTGATAATTAATGATGTTGAGCGCTTTTTCACATCCCTGTTTGCCATTTGTATGTATTCTTTTGATAAATGTCTATTAAGATCTTTTCTCATTTCTTAATCAGATTATTAGATTTTTTTCCTGTAGAATTGTTTGAGCTCCTTATATATTCTGGTTATTAACCTCTTGTTAGATGGATAGTTTGCTAACATTTTTCTCCCATTCTGTGTGTTGTATCTTCACTTTGTTGATTGTTTCCTTTGCTGTGCAGAAGTTTTTTAACTTGATGTGATCCCATTTGTTCATTTTTGCTTTGGGAGCCACTGTGCCCAGCAAGAAATTTCACTGGAATTTTTTTTCTTATATTTTTTTACTTTCAGTCTATGTATGTCTTTGTAGGTGAAGTGAGTTTCTTACAGGCAGCATATAGTTGGCTCTTGGTTTGTTTATATCTATTTTTAGAGACGGAGTCTTGCTCTGTGACTCAGGCTGGAGTGCAGTGGCACAATCTTGGCTCACTGCAACCTCCACCTCCTGGGTTCAAGCGATTCTCCTGCCTTGGTCTCCTGAGTAACCGGGACTGCAGGCACCTGCCACCACGTCTGGCTAATTTTAGTATTTTTAGTAGAGACAGGATTTCACCATGTTGGCCAGGCTTGTCTCAAACTCCTGACTTTAAGTGATACTCCCACCTCAGCCTCCCAAAGTGCTGGGATTACAGGCGTGAGCCACTGTGCCCAGCCTGGGTCTTATTTTTTAATCCCTTCAGCCAGTCTATATTATTTAATTGGGAAATTTAATTTATTTGCATTCAAGGTTGTTGTTAAAATATGATATTTTATTCCTGTCATATTGTTTTCTAGTTGTTTTGTAATTCTTTGTTCTTTTCTCCCTCTAATCATTTATCTTTGCAGTGATAAGGTTTGATTTATTTTTCTTTCTCATTTGTGTATCTTTTCAACCAGTGAGTTTTGTACGTTTGTGTTTTCGTGGCGGTAGTTATCCTTTTGCTTCCAGATGTAGTACTCCCTTAAGTATTTCTTGTAATGATGCTCTAGTGGTGATGAATTTCTTCAGTTTTAGTTTGGGAAAATTTTATTTCTTCTTCATTTCTGAAGGATAGCTTTATTGGGTTTGATATTCTTGCTTGGCAGTTTTTTTCTTACAACACTTTGAATATATCATCTCATTCTCTCCTGGCATGTAAAGTTTCTGCTGAGAAAAATTATGTTAGTCTAATGGGGAGTTTCATGTATGTGATTTGAAATTTTTTTCTTGCTGTTTTAAAAAATTCTCTCCTTGTCTTTGACTTTTGACAGTTTTATTATAATGTGCTTTAGAGACCTTTTTGGGTTGACTATATTTGGAGACTTTTTAGCTTCCTGGATGTAAATGTCCATATGTCTCCAAAGTCTTAAAAAGGTTTCAGTGATTATTTTATCAAATAGATTTTCTATTCCTTTTTCATCTCCTTTCCTTCTAAAACATCCGGAATGTGAATATTTGTTTGCTTAATAGTCTCCTTTAAGACTGTAGGCTTTCTTTATTCTTTTTAAATTATTTTTTCTATTTTTAGTCTGACTGGGTTATTTCAAAAGACCTGTCTTCAAGTTCAGAAATTATTTTTTTCTTCTTGATCTATTGTTGAAGATCTCTATTGTCTTTTTTATTTTATTTGTGGATTTTTTTAGCATCAAGATTTGTTTGGTTCTTTTAAAAAATAATATACATTTTGTTGTTGAATTTCTCATTCAGAGCATTAATGTTTTCCTGATTTCATTTAAGTGTCTGTACTTATCCTGTATCTTACTGAGGTTCGTTAGTTTCCATTCCTTTTTAGGCATCTGTTAGCTTTCCTTTTGTGGAATGTGTTACTGGGGAATTATTGTGTTCCTTTGACAGTGTTGTGTTTCCTTATTTTCTTATGTTTTTTGTGTTCCTATGTTTCTTGTGTTCCTATGTTGATATCTGTGAATCTGGTGAAACAGTCACCTCTTCCAATTTCATGGAGTAGCTTTCACTGGGAGAGACTTTTTTCCTGTAGTTGTGACCTATAGTAATGATTGCTTAGGGTGCTTTGGCTTTGGTTCTGAGTGGGTGCAGTAATGTAGTCTCCACATTTGCTCTTAGGCAAAAGGCTGAGAAGCAATAACAACTACGTAGTCTCCGTGTGATTTTAACAGCATCAGCAGCATTTGAGTGCCACAGTGTCATAGACTGTAGATATTTGTGGAGGCAATCATGTAGTTTTGCTGGTGGTAAGTGTTCATTGGTGGCCAGTTCTTGGATTATGGGAAGGTGCTTGCCTGGAACAGCAGTACCATTGCCAGCTAAGGTGGGCACCAGGTGGGTTGGTCCTCAGTCCCTGAAGAATACACCATGTGATATCTCTACCTCTGGAGGGGGTGGGGTTGGCAGAGGTGGTAGGTGCTGAGTAGACCAGTCCTCTGTCCCTTGGAGAGATATACACATGCTGTATCTCCACCACTGGATGGGGCAGGGTTGCTGGCACCAGTGGGTGGTAGGTGGGCAGATCCTTGGTCCCTTGGGACTTTTTGAGGTACATGGTAGCTCTGCCACTGGAAGGGGACAGGGTCTCCAGTAGTGGCAGCCTCTAGGTGAGCTGATCTTTGATCTCTAGGGGTGCCTACGTATAAGGGAGCTTCATCCCTGGAGGGGGTAGGGTTGCTGGCAGCAGTGGGTACCAGGTAGCTGGGCATGCACACTGGCTCCCCAACCCCTGAGGGTGACTTCTTTACTGTGCTGGACTACCTGCTTCCTGGAGCTTATGCTATGTGGGTTTTAGTGCTAGAGTCACGGTTCTACTACTAGGTCTGGCTGGGATATCAGCACTGAGTCTTCTGTATGGGCATGGTGGAGTGACTGCAGGGCCCCAGGGATATTGGAGACATAGGGGCCATTGGCTCCTGGGGCAGGATGTACTTCAGCAATAGCTTCTTACCCAAAACAGTACCATGCCATGACAGCGTAGTTCCCAGGAGTATGCAGGAGAGGGCTCATTGTGTGTTTGTGGATATATTTTAAAGCCACCACACTGCCATAGCCAACATAAATAGATTTAGAAACAAAGGGATATTATACCTAATGACCCACTTAAAACTATTTTTTTTTTAGATTTCCATTCTCTGAAGTTCTGGGCTTTGGAGGTGTAGAGGTTTGTTTCTAAAGAAAGGAGTTGAGAGTTTGATTTCTAAAGAAAGCCCCAGCAAGGGCTAAACAATGGTTCCTTTTATTTGGGGCTGAGACTGCCATCTGACCATTTTCTATATCTTCTGTCATTGGATAAGCAAGAGAAAAAGGTGAAAGAGAGAAAGAAGGTTATGGTATTGATCAATGTGATTAAAGTTATCATCAAGCAAAAAATAGGTTTGTTGTTATACCTTTAAACAGATAGATCTACTGAATACTTGGGTCTCTTAGAATGAAGGTACTGGCTGAAAGTAAAAGGAACATGGAATTGCTGATAGAGATAGGAAGTCATAAATGGTGGGAAGGCCACATTATCAGGGGAAGAAATAAGAGCTGACATCTTGTTTTTGTTTTTTTGATGTTTCATGTATTCTTTTATGTGTTTTCACTTTTATTTTCTTTCTTTAGCCTTTATACTTCACTATTGTATATAGGGTGTGATACTGTTGTAAAATTCATTATTTAGTCCGTAAGTATCAGAATGTGGATATGAAATCAGTACAGAACTTGAAGAGGAATGACCACCAACCAGACTTGGTGATGGATGGTTCTAGACTTAGAAATGGGTTGATGGATGTGGTAACTGATGACACATTGGATTGACTTCCTTGGAGAGTGACAATGTGAGTGCGTCTTTGATTGTATAAAGGAAAATTGCAATATTTTAAGTGGCAATACTTTTTTGAAATGTAAACATTGGAAGAAATGGTTATATTGGTGTTGGGCAACCAAAGAGATGACTTTGTGTTTGACATTTTTGTGGTTTTATTTTCTGCTTTTCTGTCATCTAAGCCCTCTTTCTATGTGCGTAGAATTCCTTACTATATGTGTGTTGGTTGTGGTGAGCAATACTCTCACTATATAATGAGGATAGTTACTCACTTTTATACTTAAAGTATATGCATGTAACCTCAGCTTGACTAATCAGATAACGTCTTGACTGCAATCTCATGAAACTCTGAGCAACAACCAACCAACTAAACTTCTCCTGAATTCCTGAGCTACAGAAACTCTGTGAAACAATAAATATTTATTATTGTTTTAAGTGGCTAAGTTGCGGAATAATTTGCTATGCAACAATAGATAATTAATATACCTTCTCTTCCTCACGGGGATTGGAAATATCACAGCACCGTCACAACTCTCACAAAGGTATTCTTACCACCATCCTCTTCAATCTACCATTTAATTCTTTGCCTGCTTTTGCAAAATTGCTAGGAGGCTTGTCCTAGCAGAATTCCTTTAACAGTCTTTTTAGCATTTTCTGTATGAAAATATTGGTTTCTTTATTCAAAATGTAAGAAGCCTTGACAACTATTACATTGTTCTCAGCTTTAAAGACTTCTGCTGTAACTCCTAGATAATATGAAAAGTTTAACATCCTTCTTTATTTTTGACTCCCATTCTCATTTCTATCCCCCATTATAAGTACAGTTATTCATCAATATCTATGGGGATTAGACCTCCAGGACCTCCTCTGTATGCTCAAGTCTCTGATGTAAAATGGGATCGTGTTTGCATATAACTTAAGCACATCCTCCTGTACACTTTAATTTTTTTATTTTTAATTTTATGGGTACATAGTAGGTGTATATATATTTATGAGATACATGAGATATTTTGTCAGAGGCATACAATGGCAATAATCACATCAGGGTAAATGGGGTATCTATTACCTCAAACATTCATCATTTCTTTGTGTTACAAACATTCCAATTGTACTCACTTAGTTATTCTAAAGTGTGCAACAAATTATAATTGACTGTAGTCACCTTCTTGTGCTATCAAATACTAGGTCATATTCATTCCATCTAACTATATTTTTGTGCCCATTAATGATCCCTACTTCCCCCAACCCCACCACAACCCTTCACAGCTTTTGGCAACTTTATCTCCATGAGTTCAATTGTTTTAATTTTTAGTTCTCACGAATTGGTAATAACAAGCAAAGTTTGTTTTTCCATGTCTGACTTAGTTCACTTAACATTATGTCCTCCATTTTCATCCATGTTGTTGCAAATGACACAATCTCATTTCTTTTTGTGGCTGAATAGTACTCCATTGTATACATGTGCCACATTTTCTTTATCCACTTGTCTGTTGATGAAAACTTAGGTTGATTCCAAATCTTGGCCATAATGAAGAGAGCTGCAATAAACATGAGAGTACAGCTATCTCTTCAATATACTGATTTCCTTTCGTTTGGGTATATACCTAGCAGTGGGATTGCTGGATCATATAATATTTCTATTTTCAGTTTCTTAAGGGAACTTCTGTACTGTTCTCCAGAGTGGCTATACTAATTTACATTCCTGCCAACAGTGTATGACGGTTTCCTTTTCTCCACATCCTCACTAGCATTCGTTATTGCCTGTCTTTTGGATTAAAGCCATTTTAACTGGGGTGAGATAATATCTCATAGTTTTGATTTGCATTTCTTTGATCATCAGTGATGTTGGGCACCTTTTCATATACCTGTTTGCCATTTGTACGTCTTCTTTTGAGAAATATCTATTCAGATCTTTTGCCCATTTTTAATTGGATTATTAGATTTTTTCTTACAGAGTTTTTTGAGCTCCTTATATATTCTGGTTATTAACGTCTTGTCAGATGGATAGTTTGCAAATATTTTTTCCCATTCTACGTGTTGTCTCTTCACTTTGTTGATTGTTTCCTTTGCTGTGCAGAAGCTTTTTAAAATGGAACGTGATCCCATTTGTCCATTTTGCTTTGATTGTCTTTGCTTTGGGGTATTAAGAAATTTGCTTGGCTGGGTGCAGTGACTCATGCCTGTAATCTCAACACTTTGGAAGGCCAAGGTGGGTGGATCACTTGAGGCCAGGAGCTTGAGACCAGCCTGGCCAACATGGCAAAACTCCACCTCTACTAAAAATACATAAATTAGCCAGGCGTAGTGGGCCATGCCTGTAATTCCAGTTACTTGGGGTTGGGGGGTGAGGCATGAAAATCGCTTGAACCCAGGGGGTGGAGGTTGTAGTGAGCCAATATTGTGCCACTGCACTCCAGCTAGACAGAGTCTCTAAAAAAGACTCCTGAGCTCAGAAAGGTGAGGTGGGAGGATTGCTTAAGTCCAGGAATTCTGGGTTATAATGCACTAGGCATCTGCACTAAATTTGGCATCATGTGGTGACCTCCCAGGAGCCTGGAATTAGACCACTTGGTTGCCTAAGGAGGAGTGAACTGGCCCAGGTCAGAAATGGAGCAAGTCAAAACTTCCATGTTGATCAGTAGCAGGATCACACCTGTGACTAGCCTCTGTACTGGAGCAACATAGTGAGATCCCTTTTCTAAAAAAGAAAAAAAGAAAAATTTTTGCCCAGACTAATGTCCTGGAGAGTTTCCTCAATGTTTTCCTTTAGTAGTTTCATAGTTTGAGGTCTTAGATTTAAGTCTTTGATCCATTTTGATTTGATTTTTACATAAAGGCAAGAGATAGGGGCCTGGTTTCGTTCTTTCACATATGGATAGCCAGTTTTCCTAGCACCATTTACTGAAGAAACTGTCCTTTCCCCAGTGTATGTACTTGGCACCTTTGTCAAAAATGAGTTCATTGTAGATGTATGGATTTTTTTCTGGGTTCTTACTCTGTTCCCTTGGTCTGTGTGTCTGTTTTTGTGCCAGTACCACGCTGTTTTGGTTACTATGGCTCTGTAATATAATTTTAAGTCAGGTAATGTGATTCTTTCAGCTTTGTTCTTTTTGCTTGGGATGGCTTTGGCTATTCTGGACCTTTCATGATTCCATATAAATTTTAGGATTTCTTTCTATTTCTGGGAAGAATGTTATTGGTATCTTGGTAGCGATTGCATTGAGTAGATTTCTTTGGGTGGTGTGGACATTTTAACAATGTTAATTCTTCCAAGCCATGAACATGGAATATCTTTCCATTTTTTGTGTGTCTGCTTCAATTTCTTTTATCAATGTTTTATAGTTTTCATTGTAGAGATCTTTTACTTTTTTGATTAAGTTTATTCCTTGGTTTTTATTTGATTTGTTGTTATTATAAATGAAATTATCTTCCTGAATTCTTTTCAGATTGTTCACTATTGACATACAGGAATGCTACTGATTTTTGTATGTTGATTTTATATCGTGCAACTCTACTGAGTTTGTTTATCAGTTCTAATAGTTTTTTGATAGTCTTTTAAGTTTTTCTCAATATAAGATCAAATCTGCAAACAAGGATAATTTGACTTCTTCCTTTCCAATTTGTATGCCTTTTATTTATTTCTCTTACTGGGTTGCTCTAGCTAGGACACTGACTACTATTAAAATGTTCAGTAACAGTGGTGAAAGTGGGCATCTTTGTTGTGTTTCAGATCTTAGAGGAAATACTTTCAGTTCTTCTCCCTTTAGTCTGATACTAGCCATGGGTCTATTGTATACGGCTTTTACTGTATTGAGATATGTTCCTTCTATGCCCAGTTCTTTAAGTTTTTTTTTTTTTTTTTTTTTTAATTTTGATGTTGGATTTTATCAAATGCTTTCTCAACATCAATTGAAATGATCATATGATTTTTGTCCTTTATTCTGTTAATAGGATATAGCATATTACTTAATTTGTATATGTTGAATTATCCTCGCAGCTCTGGGTTGAATCCTACTTAGTTGTAATGAATGATCTTTTTAATGTGTTGTTGAATTTTGTTTGCTAGTATTTTGTTGCCCCCGTTTCTTTCTTTCTTTTTTTTAAGACAAGTCTCGCTCTGTCACCCATCACCCAGGCTGGAATGCAGTGGTGTGATCTCAGCTCACTGCAGCCTCCACCTCCCAAGTTCAAGTGATTCTCCTGCTTCAACCTCCTGTGTAGCTGGGATTACAGGTGCACACCACCATACCCTGCTGATTTTTGTATTTTTAGTAGAGACAGGGTTTCACTACGTTGTCCAGGCTGGTCTTGAACTCCTGACCTTGTGATCTGCCCGCCTTGGCCTCCCAAAGTGCTGAGATTACAGATGTGAGCCACCACACCCCTTCTATACTTTTAATTATCTCTAGATTACTTATCATACCCAATAAAATGTAAATGCTACATAGTTGTTATACTATGTTGTTTAGGCAATAACAAGAAAAAGCTGTACATGTTTAGTACAGATGGAATTTTTTCAAATACTTTTTATTTGCAATTACTTGAATCCACAGATGTGGAACCCATGGACATGGAGGGCCAACTGTACTGTGATGTGTTCCTATAACCTCTCAGATTCCCTGTGAACGCCTAATGATAGCAATGTGCCATCGCCTAAGGAATATTCTCAAGTCAACCTCACACACCTGAAGTTATTCACATGATATAAGGTCAAGTCCTAGGTCAGCTCTTGCTCTTTAAGAATTCACATTATTTCTCCAAGGCCCCAAGGTCTTAACTAATTTGTAAAATAGTAATAGCAATGCTTTTCTCACAAGGTACTTCTGAGGTATATCGTAGTTCTGTTCTTTTTGAGTCTTGAAACTTCGTTTTAAGCATTTTAGTGCAATAAAATATAGATTGTGCATGAAAAAAAGTTTAACATCCTGAAAGAAACCTCACATGTATAATAAATAAAAATGTAGTAAATATAAAAAGTAAATAAGAGTTCTAGATGGCTTCTGCTTCCACATAAACCGGATTTGTTATTGTTAAATCATTCTCTGAAGTTTGATCTTTCTTCTGCCGATTACCTGAGCAAGTTAATTAATTTATCTGTTTTTTTTTTTTTTTTTTTTTTTTTTCCCAAGATGGAGTCTCCTGTTACCTGGGCTGGAGTGCAGTGGTGCAGTCTCAGCGCACTGCAACCTCCAACTCTGGGGTTCAAGCGATTCTCTTGCTCAGCCTCCCAAGTAGCTGGGATTACAGGCATCCACCACCACAGCTTGGCTAATTTTTGTATTTTTAGTAAAGTCAGGGTTTTGCCCTGTTGGTCAGGCTGGTCTTGAACTCCTGACCTCAAGTGATCTGTACACCTCTGCCTCCCAAAGTTTGGGATTACAGGCATGAGCCACTGCACCCAGCCAATTTCTCTCATCTTCCATTTCTGTATCTGTAAAATGGGAATAAAAACGGTACCCATCTCATATGGGTCTTCTAAATTTAAATGAGATGATCTTAGTATAGCATGTAGTATGCAAGAACTATTTAATATATTTTAGGTATTATTTTAATGATCAGCTTGCCCAGGAAGTGTTGGCAACATATTGTAATTTCCTAGGGTCAACTGTCTCATAAAGTTTTATGTAATATAGGCTCTATCACTTTTTAAAAGTTTTCAAATCAGCTTAAAATTTTGTTTTTCTTGCCTCCTCTCTTGCTTTTACAACCTGGAAAAGGTCTTCTGAAAATCTTTTTTTTTTTTGGTTGTTGTGGTTGTTGTTTTCAGATTGTCCTGGTGCTTCACATGTTTCTGGCTCCACGTTCAGTCCATTTGCTGAACACAGGGCAAGTATCCAGCATGTCTTTGCACCATACTCCAGAGTTGGCATCTTGTTTACCAGAGGGAAGAAGTGAATGCTTTCACATTTTTTGTTTGTTCAAGAGGAATTAATATATTTTGAAAATATATTTAAAAACACAACATCATTAGAGCCTTGATTTATAACCACCCCTGTCTGTTAGTGATTTATATATTAATTTGTATATTTTAAAGACGGATTTTTAAATGAATAGAATAAGACTCATTTAACTAATGTAGAAATGCTAAGTAAACTATTTCTTTTTTTTTTTTGAGCAAGTGAGTTTATTTTCTTGCCCTGCTACTGACACAGACATCAGTCTATTTTAAACACATCAGTTCTAGAAATATATGTAGAGGTACAGGGGGAAATGAGCATGTAAGAGTCAGTCAGTATTCAAGGATTAATCCACTCTTTTTGTATAACAATTTCGTTTTGTTTGTTGTACGTTTTCTAAGTTTTTCCTTCACTATAAAAAATATCTATCAGTTGGTTAAAGCAGGATGCAAATGTGGTAGGAATTGTGACTTAGCAGGAAATGGCAAACTTTTTCTGTAAAAGGTCGGTTAGTAAACTAAATAAACTTCTTAATGCACACCTATCGTGGATAGTAATC